CTCTTTTTAAAATTTTTGTGTGAACATATGTTTTCACTTTCCTCAAGTTAAAACCTAGAATGGAATTACTACTGGGTTATAGAGAAAGTATATGTTTATTATAGAATCTTCCAGAACAATTTCCAAAATGGCTGTACTATTTTATATTCCCACTAGTAATAAAATTGGACCAGATTTGACTTTCACCATGCAGAGGAAGATAGTGCCCTGAGGGGAAGCAATTATATGGGAGAAAATTTGGTCCTTGAACAAAGCAATGATTGCTACTATCTTTGACCACTTACCTCCTTTCTATTCCAATACAGTGAGATAAACAATGACCTACCATGGAGGAGAACAATGGGTTCAACCTCTCTGGTGCAGGCACCAAGGGTTGGACATATTTTGCAGAGAATTTATAAATAATTTTGACTAAAATCCAATCTGTTTTTTTTTTTTTTGGTCATTCTATTTTTAATTTCTTTAAAAAAAAAAAAAAAAAGGAATCAGTGATAAAGCTTTCCTCCATACCAAGCAGACTACTCCACTCATATCGCCTGCCCTTGGTGTGCCACTAAAACAAATGGCCATTATGCTCAAGCCAGGCTACATTTTTAAAAATATTTATGTGTTTTTGGTCTTTTCTTGAAAATACCTAGATTTAAGATGTGCATCCTTCGATTATTACTTTCTAAAAACCACACAAATATTGTACCAACATTTAGTGTTACTAAGAAAAAAATAAAAGTTTAGAGTATATTCTTAAACATTCAAATTATAAACTGCAACTTAGTCTATCACCTACTTTTTATATTATAGATCCAGAGTAGGTTTTATAGAATTAACACCTTTCTAGGAATTTAAATATACCTTATAATTACAAATAAGACCTGTATTGCACAGAAGTATTTCAGGCCACCATCCTGCCTGACATCCTTAAGCAGTGGAGTCCACCCCAGCAACACTTGCAGAGCACCATGTCAAGCTCATACAGTATGTAATCTCTCTAAGTCATCTCTCAACCTGACTGAATAAAGTGAAGTCAACACCAAATCAAACATCATGCATGGCACTTCACTTCCTTGAACAAGTACTTGGATGCTTAGACTCCTTTAATACCTTTACTTCAACCACACAAATGAACAGGTCTTCACTTTTCTGAGTTACAACCCTCTTCTAAATGCAGTTCTTCTTAACGCAGAATCACATCCACAGACTAGATTAGTGTACTCTGCACTCACCAGGCATGATGCAAACTAGCAAGGATATGAATGGGAGAAAATAGGTACAAGAAACTTCTCATTTATTCCCTCTAGATTTGGGTTATCAGACTTTGTCATTTGGGGTACCTCTAATTACAGAGTAAAAATAAATTGCATGAAATACCTAACTGGCTCAAGAGATAGATTTGGATATATTTCTTGTCCATGTTAATGCAAGGACTTTCAGGACCACACCTGTGATTGGAAAAGTTTCATTTATAATTCATTGTAGAAATGGAGAACGAACATCATGGGAGACTGTGGGACACCTCAGCAAGAGAGTATAAACAAGGAGTTAAAAAATTTGGGCTTGTTTTAGGTGATTTGAGGGAACTTCAAAGGATGCAGGGGCTTTATCCTACACTGGATGCTGCTGTGAAGCAAAAACTTGGGTATTTTAAGAGATATCTAAGAGCAAAGACTAAGCAAGCTAAAGCAGTAATTAGTAAAGCAGAAATAGTCCACCCATATGCCAAGATGGGGAGATAGTTGGTCATTTTTATGGTTTATTTATTTATTTATGGTTTAAAGTTCATGCTTTTGCCTGTGTTCAGACATACATTATAGAATTTTTTTTTTTTAATCAAGCCATCATAGTGTGGCTTGGTTAGATGCTAATATTCTGAAAAATTGTTATGTTCAACAGGGCTTCAAGGTTTATCTATGACTGCCTTCTGTGTTGTCCTTCTGTTTTGGTGTCTTGTATCTGCAATGATTTTTGTCCTATTTTGGTTTCCTACTGCTGCCATTACAAGTTATAACATACAGGGATAATAAGAAAAATTGTCTTACATTCCATTAGATCAGAAGTCCAACATGAGTTAAAATTGGCTTTGTTTCTGGCATATCAGTTGGGGTGGAATGGGTGTTTAATTGCCCACCTCACTACATAGGACAAATACTTATCAGAATCTGCTCCACTGAGTTAAGAAATTAAAGTTCTGAATATAATAGTGTACATGTTTGGAGTCCGAGTTACATGCAACCAATAACCAGGTTATTGTTGGGCAAAATATATCTTTGTGAACTGTCAAAATGTCAGAATCTAGGCAGGTTTAACAAAGAATTACAGATACCCAAATTCAGTACAAGTATTAAGTCAATAATAGAATATTTAAAAACTAGATGACATAGATTGTAAAGAGCAGGACAGATAGTTAAAGCCAACAGACTCAATGATCAATAAGGAGAGACATGGCATTGATGAGCCTAGAGGAAAAGTTTCAGTACCAGGAAGCTCTTTATAATAGAGATTAGTCTCTCTCCTGGTCCAGTGCCTGGCACAAACAAACTACTTAAATATCCTAGGATATAATATAATTTATACTTTAAAGGAAAGACTTATTCTGGAATCCTGCTAACCTGGGATATGAGGGTGAAATTAAATAAGTGAGATCATCTGTGACCTCATACCAGAAAGAATATCTAGAGACAAATGCAAACAACACAAATGATCTAAAATAACATCAATTTATTTCAAGCTCAGTAGGAAATAAGATAATCTTGTTCCAGAAGATTGTTTTAATTGGACTATTATTTTCTATTTTAGTTTGCATTTTTTGCTGAAAAGAAATGAAAAAAATACATCAAAATGTTCTGGTTTCTGGTCTGGTGTGTAAAGAAATTAAAAGTTGCCACTCCATCTTAAGTAAAAAGCTGAGCAATTTTTTTTTTTTAATCAACAACTCTTTTAAATTCATTCAAAAAGTGAGGTCACAGGGCAAATCATTGCCAACATAATTGGAGACAGGAGGATATAGAGTATCACAGTTTATCTGAGCATAAGAAACCCACAGGCAGAAGCTTCTGTGGGAACCCATGCTGGGGTAGGAAGACCTGAATGGTTATCGTCAGATTGCTGGAGGCTCAGTGTAGATATGTCTGAGAGCTAAAAACTAGAGGGCATCTAGTCATTGGAGGACTCCCACACTTCTGTTGAGTATTACTCCTAGACTTCTACCAAGTTTCTATTTTTTTGTTTTAAACAGTGAACATAAGTGAAAAACCCTCTCATGCTTCTGACAGGGGGAGGAAACAAGGAACCATTTGGAAATATGCCAGAGCACTTTGTTTTCTTAACAAAGTCTGTATTCAGGAGAAACGCTTTTACCAGAAACTAATTTGCTGGGGTTTATATGGATCTAACAGATCTGGAAGAAGGATAATAACCTCCTCCAGCCCATCTGCCCTACCTAAGGTGGATATAGGTTTATCAACCACTAGTTGATCTTACCACATTACTAAAGACCTATTTATTGTAGCTCTTTTTACACAGTATACCATGTCCACCTTTTAACAACAACAACAACAAAAAAGACATACTAAAAGGCAAAAAACAAAAATACAATTTGAAGAGGCAGAACAAGCATCAGAACCAGATCCAGATATCATAGGGATGTTGGACTTATCAGGCCAGGACTGTATGAGTACTATGATTCATACATTAAGGGCTCTGACAGGAAATGTAGAGATGGAAATTCTGAGAAAGAATTAAAAGAAATGTTAGAAAACAAAACAAAAGCGCTAGAAAAGTGACAAATGGCTTTGAGAACCTCATTAGATTAAATATGGCAAGGAAATAATCTCTGAGTTTAAGGATATGCCAATAAATACTTCCAAAACTGAAAAAGGAAAGAAAAGATGACTGCAAAGCAAACCATGTAAGAAAAACAGAACAGTATATCCAAGAACTAGGAGGTAACTACAAACAGTGTAACATACACAAAGGGAGGAGAAAAAAAAAAAAAAAAAGAAGGAACAGAAGTTCTTCAAATGTTTTAGAAGAAACAAAATAAATTTCCCCCAAATTAATGTTCAACACCAAAGCATGAATGCAGGATGCTCAGAGAACACCAAGCAAAATAAATGTCGACCCAACTACACCCAGGTGCATCATATTCAAACTGCAGAAAACCAAAGATAAAGACATTAAAGAGGTATATTTATTGACCCCAACCTTCCCTTGGTTTTAGTAAACTCCACCTACTTTCATCATAATCTATCACTCTCTTCCTCAAAAGAAGTAGAAGAGATTTTTACTTGAGTTGATTCAACACTTAGTGTATTTACCATTAGTTATCAGATAACCTATTTCACAGGAAGAGTTCAATAGTGAATTTTATTGAATGAGACCTGCTTTGGAATCAAACACACCTGAATTTAACTTCTTGCTCAGCCTAAAAATTACCTTATTTTACTCAGGCTTAGTTTTGACCTCATTTAAAATTGAGAGTGGCATTTATTTGGTAGGGTTATCATGAATATTAGAGATTACATGTATAAAAACTAGTGTAACCTCTACTGAGCAAAATTAGCTGCTCAGTAAATTATAGGTGCTATAATTATGAGTGGTAGAAGTTTATAGTCATATAGAAATAAAAAGAAACTGAATAAAAAAAAATGTTTGCCTGGTGTGGTTTTTTTCTAGCCATCTAATCCTACCTTAGTTCTCTAAAACTCTTTGGAATAAAATCCTGTCATTCCAGATGATCTAAAAACAGGGCAGAGACTAATGTCATGAACCCACTCCAGCTGGGGCTCTCTCCTATCCTTGATTTCTGTTAGGTCTACTTTCTCTCCAGGTTACAAAAACAACAGATATTCTAACCTTTCAAAAAAATTAATTGCTAATCAAGTAAGCCAGGGAATAAACATTAAAAGAACGATGAGAGAAAATTACAGAATTAAAAACAGTCATATCTCTGGTCAAAACTTGATTGCAAAACCTTCTTGGCCCCCAAGACGAGGAATTCTCCCTACCATTGGAAGCAGTGGTCTCTCTCCTTGGCCTTCCGGGAAGTTTTCAAGGTCGGTAGCTTCAAGGCAGTATGTCTCAATCCCAGATGCATTTTAGAGCCAACTGGGGAGTTTTAAATAGACTTCTGTCTGGGCCCTGCCCTAAGTAATTTGGGGTTTAATTGGTCCCTAGTGGGGCCTTGGAAGGCAGGTTGTTTTTAAAGCTCTCCAGGTGATATTAATGAAACTTCGGCGTGGAAAGCCACTGTTTGAAGGCAAACTTTCACATAGTTTTCAGGCCAAACCCTGTTTATCCCAAGACTCATCTTCTGTGCTTGGTGTCAGGATTCACTTCCCCTATATCTGCCACGTTTTTCCTCTTGAGATTTACTCTGGCTTCCTGATGCTAGTTTCTTTACTAAGTTTCTTCCAAGTTATTTCTCTCTGTGGTTGTGAGTCAAGCAAATCAAGGCATCAGTCTACTGATTAATTATCCACTGATTCTTGGCATCTGAAGATGGCTTCTTTGGTTTGTGCTTCTCTGCACAGGTGCGAAGTATGGATTTTTAAATGTTGATTGTTTCTTAAAGAAAGATCAGGTAGTTCTGAAATACTGGATAAAGTGTGCTCCCCTCTAAAAGGAGAGACATTTCTAGTACCATGCATATACAGGCACTCAGGGAAGGCCTGGTAAACAAAGTTGGCTTTCTTTGCCTGTATTTCCTACTCTGCTGAATGTTTATGGCTGTGGAGTCCAGCTCACCAGTGCCATAAAAAATGACCTCTCCTCAACATTGTTCATATGACCTGTCTATACCTTAGCATGAAAATATAACATCCCATTTTCTTATTCTGTAGTTAAAGATCAGATCTTTTAAAAACTAAGATGCATAAGTTCACTTACTTAGTTACCAAATTCCTTTATTCCTAAGAGCTGATCCTTTTTGGGTCTCACAGGAGCCCATTATTACGACTGTCACTTTCTTTACACATTAATAGCTAAAGAACTTTTACCCAAATGAAAGCAGGTTGCCAATGAAATAAAAAGAGTAGCTTAAAAAAAATTCCTCATATTTAGTTGTAAATATATCATCTTAAGATCACTTTTGGATTAAGTCCTTACTTAGCACTTCATAAAAATAACACCCATTTGTACCTGAGATTTTTCTGCCTTAACACTTAACACTATCTCTCTCCTTATTCTGTTTGCAAGTTCATTGTAACACAAACACAAAATTCACATTTGAGAAACACTGTGAGAAAAGTCCTAAAAGTCACTATGGATAAAAATTTAGCTCTCTAGTATGTACTTGTTTTGGGATCTGCCTGTAAATAATATCTCCAGCCATTTGTCACAAGGTGGTGTATGGTTTTTCCTATGCAGAATCTATTATTTTAGGAATTGTCAATACAGAAATATGATTACTGCAAAACCATGCTGTGAAAACCAGAACTAACACCATAATAGAAAAGAAATTTCAATAGCATCATCCTCAATTTGTTTCATATATATATATATATGCACATATATATGTATTTCAAGCTCTTTTGGTCATATATTCTATATTTTTTTCTAATCAGCTCTAACCCTCGATTTCAGTGATATTTAAATTATTTTAGCTGATAAATGTAACAATTTGAGGCTCCCCTTGTCTCACAGGAGACTCTAGGGACAGTCATCATTAACTTTAGTAAATTATTTGTTATAGTCATTTAAAGAGATTTGTAGATGGAAATTCTTACAAAGCTTTCTCCAAACATGAAATGAATTTTAAGAAGCATCTTTGCCTATCTATATGTGTGCGTATGGAATTACGTGATTTATAACCAGAAGGTGACTTCTTTGCTTATGAAATTTCTTTCAGCAAATGACAACACTCTCGGTCTAAGTCTCTTTTAATTTTGCTCCCTGCAAATATAAAATGCTCTTTCTTTTCTCTGAATGACAAAGGTGGCAATAACTAGTAACTGGTGTCTGTGCAATTCTAATGATCCTCCCTTAGCTCCTACTCCCTCAATGCCACTACCTCCACCAAACACACACACAATACAGATGAGAGTAGTATAGAGGCAGTCATTGTTGACATAAATTAACCACCTAGGAATAGCTATCACAGCTGGGTGGCCCAATGGACATGGAGACTCCCTTCTCTCTACCACTGCCTTGTAGATTTTCCCATGCCTTTCCCCTGGCCTACTTCTGTGCCTAGGTTATTCCCCCAACTCCTCGCTCTGCATAATCTCCCAAACCTGGGCCCCGTCCCAAGCCCATTTGCCATCAGGCTCCCACCCGAGTGGGGCCATAGGTGATTCTTATAAGACCCTGGTCTAGTTTCAACTGGGTCTGATTCCAGTCTTTAACATCTAGCATCAGTCTTAGTTCTACCAGAAACCTGTCTGGGGAGCCTGGAGACAGAACTCTAAATTATTAGAAGTTGTGAAAACACAGATCCAACATATTAAAACAAAATGTATTGCTAGACAACTAAATTAGAAGTTGATTTTTGTCCCTCTTATAATGATTATCTATTATGAGAATTTGAGCAGGGTATTATACTTCAAGAACATTGTGACTTAAATAAGCTTCTGCAAACTTGCATTTTTTTTCATGTAGTTGATTCTCAAGAAGTCCCAGGTTTGAAGATCTATGGAATGCAGAGAATTCTATTTTATTTTCCATAGAAAGGAGAATTTAACCATTTCTCCTACTACAGTAGGACTACAGTATTAACAAATACTTAGAGAATATGGAGGTTTCTTTCTGTGTGAGTGAAACATTAGTACATTTCTTTATTTGGCTAGTGATGAAGGCTTTATTTCATTCTGCAGTATCAGCCTGCTCATGGGCTGTAGGACAGAAGTGATAATAAAGAAACAGTGAAAGATGACAATGCCCCAGGTTTGAAAATACTTTGATGGGATCTCTACAGCAGTTTGATGAGAAATGCAAGACCATGGACTTTTCTAGGTGCTAAGTTGATAGAATTGAAATTAATTGTAATAGCAAAGACAGTGGAAGCAGCCACTGCTACACATTATACTTCCATAATCACACCTATTGTGCGTTAGGCACAGGGATGAATGAGTCTTATATACACTGTCCTATTTCACCCGTATGAGAGTCCCTTGTAAGAAGTTAGTTTTCTCATCCCTATTTTTCATTCAACAATGTGGAGACACAAAGATATTAGTTAATTTACCCCAAAGAGCTTACTTGTCACTTATAAATGGCAGAAGTGAAATTTGGGCCTATTTCCAAAGTTCATCTGATTTTAAGCAAGCACTGCCACCCTTCAGGGTCCAGGAAGGTAAATGAAATACATACTTTTCAAAAACTTATTTATTTCTATTTTGAGTATTTATTGCTTTTTTTTCTACTCTTTTTTTTTTTTTGATATTTTATTTATTTTTTCCTGAGAGACACAGAGAGAGAGAGGCAGAGACACAGGTAGAAGGAGAAGCAGGCTCCCTGTGGGGAACCTGATGTGGAACTTGATCCTAGGACCCTGGGATCATGACCTGAAGCAAAGGAAGACGCTCAACCACTGAACTACCCAAGCACCCCTTCATCCTACTCTTATTTTCAAAGTTACTTTTGAAAAGCTAAAAAAAAAAAAAAAAAAAAAAAAAAAGAGGTAAACAAGTTTCTTTCTCCTTAAAGTCAGTGGAGTGGTACTAGTCCTAATAGTGGTTTCTGCTGTGAACATGCTATGTGACTTTTGCAAAATGTATCTTTGGGGGGGGGGGCAGATTCCTTATATGTACTGAAGAGGTTGGCCTGGAGATCTTGGCAATCTGTGATGTTCCATGAAGAGAGTCATTTGTCTGAGAACCCTGAGAAGTCAGGAAAACTGGAACTAAAGGGTGAAAACTCTGGGGAGAAAGTGGAAAACCATAAACGTGATCCCTTCCTGACTTCAGTTTTCCCTCACAGTTGGTATTCATTTGATTCAACCCCTCAGATCCCAAAAGACAGAGTGTTACACAAACAGCATCAGTGACCACTGGCTTACACGTCAGGAAGAGGAGTGGGAGAAACTACATAAATAAATAATGTAACAGTGGAATTGGCAATCTCCTGGCCTTTGGAGGTCCCTAGAGTTTGCCAATTTGGACCACACGGGACTCCAGGGGTTGTAAAACAGCAAACCACAACATGGTGTCCACTTGAAGCCTTTCACCACAGTGTGGTTGGCCAGAAGCTGACTAGCCAAAACTCCTACACAGGACAGCACAGCCAGGACCGTCTCTGGAAATCCCAACTGCATTCTTTACCCCAAGGTGGGCTCACGAGTCCTCTGGGTCTACTGTTTCCAAAGGCCAGTCTGAGGATTTGTGTCCATCAGTGTCGAGTTTTTCATAAGTCTGCTGCGAGGTGCAAAAAAAGGCACAAAAAAGAAAGAAGAGTGTGTTTTCCATAAAGTTGAATGTATTCATCTAAAGGACTGTATTATTCTTTATTCTTTTTACTTTTTAACATTAAAATGTCCTTTCTCTTGTGAAATTATAGTGATAATAAGTGGGAGGTTGTATATGATGTATATTTTATGTTCTTTGCTTGGCAAGCCAGTATCAGGTTTCAAACTTACATCGGACTTTCACCTACCTGTGAAATAGAATACAGTGGGAACTTTTGTTTTTCAGGCATGCAGGAGGGACGAGACCTCTGGGATTCCCTGTTACACTAACAAGGCTGCAGTGCTGAAACCCCTGAACAATCTGTACGGTTTGGAGGTTTGAGCCATTTACCCCAGGTTCCTGTCTTTGGATCCTACTTTATTTCTACTCTTCCAGGGTGATTTGATAGGCTTAAGGCAAAGCTTAATTTGTCAAGGACTAAAAATAAAAATAAAAAATAGCAAAGACTGGGATGCCTGGGTGGCTCAGAGGTTGAGCATCTGCCTTTGGCTCAGGGCGTGATCCTGGAGTCCTGGGATCGAGTCCCACATTGGGCTTCCTGCATGGAGCCTTCTTCTCCCTCTGCCTATGTTTCTGTCTCTCTCATGAATAAATAAATAAAACCTTAAAAAGAAAAAGCAAAGACTTATATACAGATACTCAGATTTAACTTTTAAGCCTCTATAAAACAGA